ATATATATAAAACCATAGTGACCAGGAATGGGGAGGTAGAGAAAAAAGGGAGCAGTTCATAAATCTAATAGCATCGTATACTGAAAATCTGTTGAGAGTAGATGTTAGGCACTTACTTTTTGTTTTTGAGACAGGGTCTTGCTATGTACTTCAGGCTAGCCTCTAGCAATGATTCTCCTGCCTCAGCCTCCTGAGTGCCTTGATTAAAGATGTGTACCACCATACCCAGCAGGCACTCTTACCATAGAAAAGGAAGGTGGGCTGGGCTTGGTAGCACATGCCTGTAATCCCAGCACTTGGGAGACTGGGACAGTAGGATGAGTTTGAGGCCAGCCTGGGCTACTTAGTGAGTTCACAACCAGTCTGAACTACACAGTGAGACCCTGTCTCCACAAAAAAAAAAAAAAGTGATGTAAGCATTAATTTTCTTAGAAACTTAATGATAGTATCCTTTCACTATATCAAAGCAACATGTTACGTAGCATATATTTGAAAAATTTAAAATACCATTAAGATTTTCAGTGTTTTGTAGAAAACATTTTTCTTTTTTTTTTTTTGTACCAGAGATTGAACTCGGGACCTTGTGCTTGCTAGGCAGGCGCCAGAACCACTGAGCTAAATCCCTGGCTCTAGAAAATATTTTTCTGTTAACTTCTCACTATTGGTATTTGGTCATTATAAAAGAAAAGACTTGAATAAAGTAACATGAACACACACACAAATTTATTCATTCATCCAAATTTGGGGTTGGTTAGATGCCAGTACCTGAAAATGTGAAAATCTAGATGGATTTACTTCCTCGCTGTTTTCCCTGGATACGTGTTCTTACACTGTGTTCATTTTTATTTACCATACTAATGTGGGAAGATTTAAAATGGGGTTTCTCATTAACTACCCTCCTTTTCCCTTTTTTTTGTTTTCCATTGCTTCTATTTGCCTTCTTCCTCTGACAGTCTTTTCGGTGTCAGGTTTCCTTTCTGGAAATGAAAAGAACAAACATCTAGGAGGCTCGCTAAGTAACTGAATCCTGTTCCCAAGTTAGGATTTAACTAAGTCTCGAAATTCAGATAGTTGTATTTTAATTTCCGGACACTTCAGCTCCAGAAAGAGAAATCTATAAACTTAACCAGGGGAAGCCAATTTCCATTCCTCCTGCTGCCTTTCCTCTCAGTTCTCAGAGCTTGGCGCCCACCACCAGCCTCTTTTGTTTAGTCTCCAGAGGTTCAATGCTCTAGTTCAACTCGTCTAAATCCAGAGGATCAAATCCCACGCTGCTGCCAAAGCAAAAATTAGACAAATATATGCTCCATCATCTTGATCAAATTCCAGTCTTAAAATCTATGCTCTGGTGTTTGACTTAGAGGAAATTCTGAATTTGTAAATGAATTATGTGCCCAACTTTCCTATTAGAGAACCAAGACCCTCATTCCTATAGAAATGCCATACCTGCTATATTACAAATAATATTAGCAAAACTTTGGCATTTTAACTCTTAAAACCAAATGTTGTTTTAACTATCCTTGATTTTATGGTATTTTAACTATACCCAATCATTTATATGAATTCTGAGTAGAAAATTCATTAAAAATGTGATGGCTGTGCATTTTATGTCCAGGATAAAATGATTCCAAGACTCACAATCACACAAACACAGTAATTTAGAATCCTTAAAATAAATTTAGATTGTGTTTATACCAGCCACTTTCCCCTTATCCAGGCATATTTAACCTCTTTCTCTGAATTTTCTTCTAGAGCAGCAGAAGTGCCCAATTTTCACCAGATTCTACCTGTGAAGAGCCAATTTTTTTATTCTATGGTTTCCCTCTAGGTGTGGTTTTCTTTCCTACCCTCTGTAGCCAAAGAAAACATGTACATTTTCTATTTAATTGCTCTAGTCTAGTTTAATAGCAAGTTGTTTCTTCTTAGTGGACATTATGGTTATGAATTTATTATTATCAAGATATGATTCAGTTAATATCCTGGAAGAAATAGTTTCTTATATACTTCAAATATTTCTAGAAAAAAATGGAATCTAAAATACTGTACACATGAATCTGTGTCCCCCTCCAAACTCCTATGTTCAAATCCTAGTTCCTGGGATCGCAGAGAGTAAGCTTATGTGAAGAAGGAATTTTTACAGAGGCAATCAAGTGAAAAAGAGATTATTGGAGAGTTTTAATCCAACGACCAGAGTCCTTATTAGAGGAAATCTGAACACAAACAGGCCCAGAGGTGGAGAGTGAAGAGGAGAATGCTATGTGATCCCGAGCGATACCACAAGCTGAGGAGGGAGGGCCAGGATGCATCCTAGCCAGAGTCAATCCTCAGGAGAAGCCAGTCCTGTCAGCCCCTTGATTTTTGCCAAACTGCCCCTGAAACTACGAAAGTCATTTTTCATTATTTAAGCCACCATGTTTGCATCACTCCATGGCAGCTGTAGGAAACTAATAGAGCACTTTTGCAAAATAACTTCCAAAATGGTTGTAACAATGTGTATTTTAACCCACCATGTTTAATAAACTTTCTGTCCATGTCTCATCAATACTGAGTATCAGTCTTTGCAATGTTCTGCTAATTTTTAAGAGTATTTTTTTTAAAAACGGTGTACACTTTTAATGCATAATTTGATTTTTTTTTTTTTTGGTACCAGGTACCAAACTCAGGACCTTGCGCTCAGCCATGGTGCTACTGAGCTAAATCCCTGGCCCTGCATAATTTGATTTTCTGAATCCCAGGTTTAACATACTATTAGGGTTTTATGTTCTTTTATTTTGAAACTCTAGAATAAATTCAAATCGATTAACAGCACTCCCAAAAATTTGCATGATTTCAACATAATTTCATACAGTGATCAAGAGAATAAACATTATTTAACTATTTATTCACTGATTGACCATCTACTGCAAAATACTCATTCTGAGATAATCACCTGTTCCAAAAAGCACATTTTAAAAGGTAAAAGCCACACAATTGGAAATTACAAAATTATCTTCATGTGAATAGCATGTGAAAATAAGTATCACAGACCACAATCTAATACATAATATGCATTACTTCTGGAGTAAATTTAACCCTGACCTTTCTGTTACCAACGTTCTTATGATGGTATCACAAAGTACAGAGCAGCTGAGCCTCTCACGGTTGCCATGTTTCTCCCGATCGCTCTGTTAATTAATGCTCATCCTGTTGGAGAACCCGGTCCATGTCTGTTTTCAGTGAGTCTTTTTCATCTTCGCATGGGTTACAATGTGGGCTTTGAGGTTGTTGGACTGCACAAACCTCTTGTCGCAGCCCTGGAAGGGACACGCGAAGCGCTTCTCGCCGGTGTGGATGCGCACGTGTGTGCGCAGGTTGAAGTCCAGGGAGAAGCGCTTGCCGCAGCCAGCGAACGTGCACTGGAAGGGCCTCTCTCCGGTGTGCACCAGGAAGTGCCTGGTGAGCTTGGAGCTCTCGGAGAACGCTCGTCCGCACTCCGCGCACACGTGGTCTCGGGGCCTGTGCACCACCAGGTGCTTCCGCAGGGCAGTTTTATCCCTCAGCTTCCTTGTGCATCCACTGTGAGGACAATCGAATGTCTCTGGAGTGCCCCGGTCTTTACTGTCCGGGGGCTTCTTTGCAGCAAATTCGCCAAGCTGTTTAGGATCCCATAGGTCAAAGCCAGGGATCTCTCCAGCAGGAAATTTCTTGCTTGTCATGTACTCAGAATACCCAAGGTGTGAATCCTCTTCAGCCATCAGTGGCGGGGGCTTTGATTTAGCTCCACTTTTCATGTACTCCAGAGAACACCCAAGAAGGGAGCTGGCTGCAAAAACCTGTTGAGAAAGACTTTCTTCCGAGTCATTGCTTAGGTTTTCAAAGGACCTAAAAAGTAAATCTTCTTCCAGGCTGGGTTCAGAAAACTGACTTGTTATGATGCATTCTATGTAGCAGTCAGGGAAATCCTCGTCTCCACTGGCTTGAGGACTTGGCTCAGGGCAGGCACCTTCATCACTCGGGGCCCAGGCCCCAAGGAGAGGCTCCATTGCTGCCTCAGGGCCTTGGGTAACCTGGTGTGGCCTTGGTTTAGCTCCCTCCAGAACTCGTCCACCCCAGCCTTTCCGGCCACTTGTCCTGGCCCTTCTCTTCGTCTGCCGATTCATGTCGTTCTGCTCACTGCCTTCTTGAGGGTTCACACCAGGACTACCAGTCACTCCCTGGCACCAGTTATCCTGGTAAGCTGTCTTCAACACACACCTGCTTTATGATAATAAACGTAATAGAGCCATTGTCAGAAAATGACCTCAAAAATGATTTAGAACACACATTCCAATAACAGAATGGCTACATTTACATATTCTCTGATCAACTCCCCAAGAGAAAAGGAAAATGAACTCTGGGATAAGACATGGGTCAATGCCAGGCATTACGGTGGTATACATGAGTTACTGGACCTGACTCGTCATGCAATACTTACCGGGCACTGCCATGGCACTACCCCTACTGTAGGCTACACCGTGCAAAAAGAGCTGTGCTTCAGACTCTGAACATATAAAATAAGTAAGTTCCGTGTGTCCACCCTAGAAGGCAAGTGCTGTAGAGTAAGTATATGGGCTACCAGAGAGCAGAAGCTTGTAATTTTAAATACTCAGGCAAATTGTTACTGAGGTAGCTATTAGCATCTGATTAAAAAACTTGAAGCAGGTGAAGATGTTAACACATTCCTGTTTTCATTGGATGCTGCAAAGCTGAACACTTACACCAAATGATGTTGTTTTATTATTTTTATTCATTCTGCAAGTGTGTACTGGATCCTGCTACTTTACTGGGCAGGGGATGACAACTGTGTCTCCACAGAGGGCCAGAGTTAAGCTCTGTGGGTCCTCTGATCTCTGCTGAAACTAGCGACCATGAGCCCTGCAGTGGAGTCAGGAGGCAGTCATGGATGACACATGAAGGAATGAGATTGGCTGTTACAATAAAACAGGGACAGGGTGAATTTCACCTATGGGCTGCGGTTTGTCTGCCCATTGTTCTAGAGGCAGTAATACTGAGAATAAGACACATGGAATCCGCAGCATTCAATTAATGGGCAGGGTAATTTAGCCTCACCATTTCCTTACAATTTAAAAGCAAGGTGGGCATATCTCTAACCCCAGCACTCTGGGAGGCTGAGGCAGGAGGACTGCAAGTGTGAGCCCAGCTCGGCAGCTTAGCTAGGATCTGCCTCAAAATTAAAAATAAAAAAAAGCTGGGGCCATGGCTCAGTGTAAAGGTCCTGGGTTCAATCTCCTGTACTGCAGAAAAATAAAAGCAAGTGCATTTAAAAGTTATAGCATGAATATGTTACTGCTGCTTTTCTAAGAGCCTTTTTGCTCACAATTGTACGCCTTAAAAAAGATCTCTTTATTTATTGTTCTGATGTACTGCTGTAGGAACAAAAATTAAATGCTTTTTAAACAAGGCCAAATGTGAAAATAGTGGGTTGAAAATACCTTTAAATAGTCACATTAAAAAAGAGCATCTCAAAAGAATCATGCCATTCACTTTGGGCAGTAAATAAACACAGACTAGAAACAAATGTTTAAGGGAAGAGTTTACAATTTCTCTTTACAATGTTTCATATAAAAAACTGTTAAAAATGTTACAGTTTATTATGTCCTTTAAGAAGTGAAACAAACCTGGGAGACTATGTAAGAATATTTCACAAACAAAATCTTCCCACTTTGGGAGCATAATTACTAGGATCAAACACAAAAGCCCCTTTCCTTCAGCTAGTCTGTTTAAAACAACTGCAATGTGATTTTCTTCTGGCTTTTTTCTCTATGTGTATCTCTCACCATCTCCAGCTCTATTATTCAGCCTACTGTATCTGTGCCTTGTACATATTCTGTTGCTGAAACACTACCCACTTGTCCTTACTGCCCTATAAGTGTACACACACACACACACACACACACACACACACACACACATACACAGTTTTCCATCTACACTTCAGATTCTTGCTTCCTCGACTTCTTCTCAGGGCTTTCTTGACTTTTTTTTTTTGTACTGGGGATTAAACCCAGGGCCTTCACACTGAGCTACATTCCCAGCCTTTTTATTATTTATTTATTTTTGTGTGTGATTTTTTTTTCTTTGGTACCAGGGATGGAACTTGTACCTTGTGCTTATGAGGCAGGTGGTGGAACCACTGAGCTAAATCCCTGGCCCTCCAGCCTTTTTAAAAAATTTGAGACAGTGTCTTGCTAAATTGCCAGGCTGGGTTTTAACTTGTGATCCTCCTGCCTCAGCCTCCCAGAGTGCTGGGATTACAGGAATCCATCACCAAGCCCAGCTTGATTCTTCAGCTCAATTAAGCCTTTGAGCTAGATTTCCCCCTAGCTCCCTATTTTGTACCAATCAGAGCTGCTGGTATTAAGATGTGTCTTACCTGCTAGGCTGGAGCTCCGTGACAGCAGAGACCTGTGGGTCTTGTTCACCACATGTCGCAGTAGTTAGCACATTTGTCTAAGGAAATGAGTTGATGCATACATGTTAGTTATTGTGCTAGTGCTTTCTGATTTAGCAGTCATGTAACAATAGTTTATTAGGATCTTATTCAGAACTTTAGACACACTTAATATAGAAATTTCAAAACGTTGCAAGGTGTTATCTAGAAAGACATCTCCTAAGAGATGGGGGGAAGTGGGCAAGAATTTTATGAATTTACTAAGGTCCATGTGTACAACTTACTTTTCTGAGACAGATTCTTATTTGTCAGGTCTCCTAATGTTATGCAATTCTTTTTTTACAATATGTAAGCTTATGAGAATTACATATGAAAGTGAAATGGTAATTTATCAATTTAGAACTAATGAATTTACTGGCAAACATGAGATGAAGACAAAATCTGAATATTAAATATACTTGGCTGCATGTTGTGCACATGCTTTTAATTTCAGCTCTCCGGGAGGCTGAGGCAGGAGGATCATAAGTTTGAAACCGGCCTGGGCAACTTTGCAAGACTTTGTCTCCAACAATAAAAAGGGCCTGGGAATGTAGCTCTGTGGTTCAATCCCCAGTACACTCTTACACACGCAAACGAAAAAGCAAAAGAAAGAAGCACTAGGTTAATCCAACCGTATACCTCTCAAACTGGAATAGAAGTACTTCATGGGATGCATTATTTATTAAATCATCTGGCCAATGTTTAGTACCCGACAATGTTTTATCGTGTGAATACAGAAGTGAAAAAGCTCACGGTTATCAAAGAGCTTTGCTTCTGTTGGAGTGGGGAAGATCCTAACTGGTAAATAAATAGTTTCAGGCGGAGAAAAACATCAGAGCACGAGAGGTTGTCTTTATAACAAATGTCTGGAAAGATTTCCAAGAAGGGGACTTTAGACTGAAACCGGAGAAGGAAGTAATGTACCAGCCTGGTGGAAAGAGCCCTGGGTCCAGGACGTAGCCGGAGGGACCAGCATGGCGGAGGGCGGCGGCCATGATCACTGCTAGCATGAACGGTGGAGGCCGGGAGGGCAGAGCTCCGGGGGGCTCTACCTCCGTTTCCAGGCCAGCGGGAACCATTACCCGTTTTCAAACAAAGGAATAGCGAGCTCTGGCTCAGGCCAAAAGATTACTCTGGAGAATGGATTCGGAGAGAAAAAAGTAAAAGCAGAAAGCCTTATTCAGCAATTTAATAATCCAAGAAAAGGAAATGGTTTCGGGTGGTGGTGCAGATGAAACTTAGGGAAGGCAGGAAATAAGATAAGGACCCCCACTCCTCGTTACTGGAGATTCAACTCAGGACCTTTGCTCAGAACATTCTCCGGGCCCCGCTCCTTTTATTTTTACTTTTGAGGCAGGGCTCACCAAGTTGCTAAGGCTAGGCTCGAACTTGCGACCCTCCTGCCTCAGCCTCCAGAGTGCTAGGATTGCTGGGGTGTGCCACCAAGCTGGCTGAGCACTCTTCGAATTTACTGGTGTACTAAGGGGCGCAGGGTAAGGGAAATAGGAATCAAGAGCTGTCCTTGAGTTTTGTTTTGTTTTTCTTTCCTCCTGGAGTAATTTGGATGTGTGGTAGTGTCACTGCCACAGCCAAGTGGAAAGGAAAAGGGAAATTTGATCCGTCTTCACAAAAATTTAAACATTTTCATATAAATACACCTATCGGAATGAAATTTACACTGTTTTGAAATAAAAACTTAAACTCATTTCGAGGGCATTTGCACCCGACCTCCGCCTTCTCGAAAGGGTATCTTCCTCCCCTCTTCACGTGTTCACGGCTGGTGACCGGGGCCAGGCCGGCCAAGCGCTCCCTGCGCGGACCAGGGCTCCCGACCCCTCGGCCCGACGTCTCGAGGACCGAACTCCACACGTCCCACTCCCTCGCCCGCATCCCGGGACAGAGGGGTAAAGTGAGACTTACCCCGCCTAGGCAGGCCCTCTGGGGCTCCCTGCTGTATTTTCTTTCAAAGGGTGAGCAGGACAGCACTGCAGCTGCAGTCTAGGAGGCCGCGTGCTCGGCGCAGGGTAGCATCCGCTCCCAACATCCGCGTCCTGACCCGGAGCCTTCGACCCGCCCTGTGCGCGCGGGGGCTGGAGGCCGAGAGGCAGCTCGGCCCCGGACTGGGCGAGGCGGTGGGCGGGGAGAGGGGCGGGGCCGGGCGGGGCCGGGCGGGGCGAGTGCCTGCCTGCAGGTAGACGCCCGGAGGAGCTCGGTCACCTTCCCCAGGTGAGGGTGGCTCTTCCTTTGACGCGCAGTCCACAGGCCTCCGCCATAGGGGCCACGGATTCTGGCTTTACCCGTCAGTAGGTACACAGTGTTTATCGAACAAGTCAGAGTAGGTGCGCGACCAAATTTAAATTTTTATATACTGACGAAATGAAACTCAAGCGGAAGAAGCAGTTTTTAAGCACTGGAAATAAAAGTTTATGGGAACACACACCCACAATGTTTTGCACTCTTCCGCCATATCCATTACCCATCTCAGCTTACTCCTAGTCTCAGGTAAATTCCTGCTACTGCTCCCCACCCACCCAATAGTGTGACTGCTCGTATCCTTAAAAGTAACACAACTTACTTTGAAAGATTGGTCAATCAACACTCACCATTGGCTGTGGTCTAGTAAAATTTAATAGTTCGTGTAAATACACCTGCACTATTAAAACAAAAACCAAATCAATGTTTAAGGACCTCTTAAATGTCAGCTTAAAGCTTTTGTACAATTCACATATCAGAGAGCAATTCTTCACCGTTTGTTT